GGCAACGAGTCCTTCAAAACTGGCTCAGCTTTGACCATTCCCGTCACGGGAGAGAACTAAAATCAGAAATGTATCATTCCTCGATAACGAGTAAAACTGCAACAACTGCAATAACAAAACATCTACTCATGCTACTTTCGTTACTCTCGAAACTGTTTACACTCAACTAATTCATATATCGACAAATGTTGCCTGCGATAGCACCAGTATGCAAAGTTTTTACAAAGACTAAGTGAAGCACGGTCACAAAAGAAGCTTCAGGTCAACCCGCTTAACAACAGCAAAGAAAACGGCGAATTTCGACTATTACGGCGGTGTTTACTGTGGAGCGTGAAACCGCAGTCACATCGAACTAAACACTGCTTCGTAAGAAAGACCAACATTGAACTGTTAAAATATTTTGCTTCTTCAGTTGTTAAATACAAATTTTGTTAATAACTCTATATCTCAATTGAGTGATATTAGCATAGAATGCAATAATTTAACGAATCCTTGGAGAAGTGTCTTTTCTTCAACTAAATTGAACTTCTCACTACATAGATGCAATGTTAAAACATATAAGTAGTGTCCTGAAAAATAATTCACTAAATATTGCTTCTCAGTAAATGCTGGAACTTTAAATCAGGAATTCACCGCATATCCTAAAGAAAACAGCATCTCGTTTTGTGCATCGAACAGCCAGTTGCACAACCCTACTCAATGACAACGTTTTGCATTCATGCTCTGCATATGCTACAGTACCACGGAGGAGCGGCCTACTTGATACTACCATGTTCTACCAGGTCTCTAGAAGAAATGGTGTACTGTCACGACGTATAAACTCGAAGTGACAAGTATGTACTCTCACTAGAAGTAGTGAAAACCAACTTTTCTCAGCAAATAGTATTTATACGGGTGTGATCTGCACAGAGTAAAACCAACATTCAACGAATCGCTTGAAAAGTGCTTTGCTTAGGCTATATTAAGGCACTTCTACCCATTCAGCGGCTAGGTAGTTGCGAGGGACTGTCGTAAACCCAGAAACGGTCGATCATGGAGGCTATAATGGATTATAAAATCCTGACTGTGGTCATAACCAATCAATGGTTGGCAAGCGGCTGCCACTGTTCAAACGTTAGGAAATGAGCTCCTCCCCATAAAAGCCAATGCGGCCTCTGATTCAAACCTTAATGTGGTGACATCACTGGTGTGACGTGGCTGCTATGCCACGCTGTACTTTTCCCCTAGTCCACGAAGTCAGAGTGTAATAGAATAACCGACCAGAAGAAATATTAATTCAAACTACTGAACCAGGCCTTGTCAACCCCGTGGACTGATGATTCAACAGATTGGCGCAATGGTCGCCAACTGACAATGCGCACATAACGCTGAGTAGCCAACACCGTTGAATATGGGTAGCCTAATACTTTAATAGCTAAATCAAAAACTTTTATAAGTTGACATTTCCATACAGATGGTTACTTGTCATCACACTCCGGCCATATGCGCGACACAACTACAAAAATATTAATTCGACTGCTGGTGATATGTGCCATACGGATTAGGCGGATTGTTCGCTCCCGATCGAGTCTGCTGTGTTGCCGATCCAAGACTTCACTGGGCATCCTTTCGGCCGTCCTCTTTGGGCGATGCCTTCAATAGTGATTTCCGTGAGGCTGCCGGATGGTGGCTGATGACAAATAAACTGCAGTTTCAACCATGGTTAAGAGTTGCTGCCATGAGTAACCGAAGGTAGAAGCGAAATTTAGAATTGGCTATCCTCAGCCTCCGATTTGCGCTTAGTACCCACCGTGTCAGAAGCTAACGCTGTCTTACGACGCCAATTACTAAACGATGAACCGAAATAGATGACTTGGTGACTTCAAGGCGCTCCTTTTGTAGTTTAACCAAAATAAACGACACTGCTTATTCGCATTAACAAATCAGATTGTCATCGGGCAGCCCAGCATGAGCACACAAGCGTTCCAAATTTATAAATTCATGACTCATTCAAAAAGCATTTAAAAACAATCATAGTCATACCTTTGGCGAAAAATCTTTCGTTTCGATAGATTTCGGCGAAAAGTCAAATTTATTCTTCGACTTCAACTCGATTTTGGCATCTTTCACAAAAATATTTCCGAAGCCAACGCCGTGAATTTTTTTTGGTTGAATTTCAGACGCGGTAACATTTTCACCTTAAAATTTAACATCATAGCAACAAAGGTTCCTTCGGCTGCTAGATAATTTTCCCACTTCAAAAACTTCACACCAAACATTAAAATACCGGATAAGTATGTAATCTATGAGCCTGCGCCTAAATTCTTTTATTTACTGTTACTTAACTGTTATTTGCTGCTCATGCACTGCTTACTATTATTAGGTGAAATAGTCCTACAACTGTCATCTGAATCAACTGATAACAAAAATATCATAGTTAGCTACGTTTGTAACTATGTCAGTTAAGTAAGTTTGTTGCTAGGCCGCCTTAAGCCGGATTGCCGTTGCTGTCATCGTCATATAAGGCTAGCAAAGCTTCAACAGCTGAACATCCCTAATATGCATTCTGATAGTCCGAAAATGTCTCTTAAATGATTAATATTAGGCAATGTACGATGCTGCAGAAAAACTTCAGGCTTCTTTTTCGTAAGCAAAAGGCCTCTGCGAGATATTTTTCAGCTTCATATTATCTACCATTGTCAGAACGAATTAATCTATAGTAACTATATCTTATAATGGTCCAACTTGCATTAAAGTTCAGTGCAACTGGCTAGGTGACGCCACTTAAGCATTTACACTTCATCCTAGCTGAAATCATTTTCGCATTCAACTGGATGACAACAGATCAACGTCGTTCTACACTTCACGTAAATGCTTTCCACGGTGTTACACACGGGTTTAAGAAAACGGCTTTATAAAGCTATTCCGTCAATCTGATGATAACTTGCAACTGATAAGATTATCTGTTGAAAATTAGTTTCACATTAGTCGAAATACCGAACGTCAAAGTTGTTTAATTAAGTTGTTTAGTTGACCAAGGAAAGCGACTATTCTCGAATCTAGAAGCACGGGAAAGCACTTCCGTCAATAATGTCAGTGTAAATTAGTCATGTAAACAGTATTACTGGTTCCATCCAACGTCATCTGAGACTTGACTAAAGGAGATACGCTGCCGTCAACCGGCTTCGTACACTCTGACGGGAAAAGGCCGACTTTGCCATTGAGGCGGCCTCGAGAGTAGCCGCCCTCCTCGAAACTGATCACTTCTATGACGTCATTGACTTCAAGTTTCAGTTCTTCCTCGTTCAGAGGTGAATAACTGCAGATGGCCTTCACTTTCCGCGAAGGCCCGTCTCCAGCGCCTAAACACAACCGTTACACCATGAAAAGAGGCACAATGCATAAAGCGACTAATGATTATCAATACCCCTCGTGGTAACTTTAGCCGTCGAATTTTCGTCACTGGATTTAGACATACATATATGATACATCGTGAAATAGGTAAACAACGTTTTCTCAAAACAACACAGCAGAATAAGATATAAAAGTCGTTAAGCCGCTAACGACGCGCTGACCTGGGCCTCTAAAACAGGAAGATGTGGTGGTTGCCGCTGCTTCAGTTGGAAGGTTTTCCTACTCACGCAACGAAATAGCAGCAATTGACACATCAGTAACACCCTGAAGAAAATTCCGCGAGGCAGAGACCGAAAGGTCAGTAATAGTTTACGACCCATATAAACCTTGATACTGTGCTAAAAACAAATTACTCTGACTATATATTTTTCTCACACGTCCAAATCAGAACATCACGCCGTCACTACTTTCAGCAAGACGACATAGTGTAACACATTCTAGGATAACTGCCCTTACACAAATCTGAATGAGATTATGAACGATATTCACTATCTGATGTCCTGCCTTATGCTGTGCTACATTATAGCAATGAATCATACATAGTAGACAATAACGGTAACGTAAAACGGTTAAAATAACACACGTTAATACTCTGGACTTGTATGGCGTAATCGCAGCGTCCCATTATTTCTACAGGCCTAGTAGAACTTCTAAGCAGGTCCCGGCACTCTGTTGATAAAACACTTGCAAGGGAGTTTTTGGGAACAGTGCGATTACGAACTAATTCTGGAAGAAGCATGTGCGCTATTGCAACTGATGCTGTCGAAAACTAGATTTTGCTAGTAAACCCTGAACTTTATGAGCATTTAGATTATATATAGAAATGTGGATAAAGGTAATTGTGTACCTGGGTTGTAGAAAGGTAACTTTAGTTGGTACCTCAGCAAACTGCTTTAAACTGGCAAAGTGATGCTGTCTTACACCGCACGTGTTACAATATTATGGAGTAGAGGTTTTTCATAAGGTCCCAAAAGCTGCAAAAGCTTAAAGCAGGGAAAAACATATAACTAATATTTAAACACATAATAGTATATACGGCACTGAAACCAAATGGCTTATCTTGTTTTACCATTGCAATAGGTCACCTCTGTGTAAGCGATGGTAGAGACGTTGAATCGCAGTTATAGTAGCAATGCAACCCACGGCTGCAAAAGCTACTAAATCCCTATTTACTGAATTTGAGTTAGCAAAGGATAAGCTAAAGTTCGGATTATTCAGATGTGAAAAACAAAAACCGACGGAGGCGAATTTTCAGTAAAAAAATTACTGAGTCATCCAGATAGACTTAATTTCGAGTTCACTGTGCCACACTATGGTGGTAGGTAACCCAGTTTAGAGCGACACAATATTTATCACATACTGGCCTAACAGACAGGTATTAATATTATTATATATAACGGTATATATAAATGGTATCATAAAAATTTTTACTCTCTTATTTTAGTGTTACACCCGGTGACTTGTGCGTAAATGGTCGGACTGACATCGAATAACTGTTACGGACGCGGCACAACGCTCAGCTGCTAAAATTGCGAAATCCCCATTTTACTTCATGTAAGTTAGCGAAAGCTAAAGTTCGAATCATTCAGATATGAAAAACAAAAACAGGCGGAGGCGAATTTTCAATAAAAAAACACTACTGCATGAGTCAGGCAAACTGAATTTAGAGTTCACTGTGGGATACTGTAGTGGTGGATGGTGGATAAAGCAGTACAGAATGATACAGTATGTCACTTATAGTGTACATAGTCGATAACAACGTTAATACTGTTATACATAATTGTATATACGATACTCTAAGCATTTGTACTCTCTTGTCTTGTTGTGATGTCCGGTAAATGGCGTGCAAGTGAAAGTAATGGCACTGAATGACTGTTACAGTGATGATGCAATATTCGGCTGCTATAATTACAGTCCTAATTTTAACACGTTCAAGTTAACAAACGTTAAAGGTCGGATGATTCAGACATGTAAAACACAAGTCGGCGGTGGCGAGCTTTCAACTAAGAAATAACCAGTGAGTGAAGCCACACAGGAAAACTAAATTTCAAGCTTATGTCTCGACCTGATTTATTGATAAACCGCCCGCTAATAATTCGAATAATGAGCCGATACGCCAAAAAGTGGCTTGTGGAATCGACGACAGACAATCTACGATGAATGCACAACTAACAAAGCCTAGGAGATGCAGAACGTGATTCATGACGGGGCTATAATCGTTGCTGCCTAACGGTCTAGAATATCGTTTGATGTATGAGGCCAGGACGAACCACAGTGTATTCAATTCACCCCAGTCACTGCAACATTTAACTGGGATTGCCAGAAACCTTGAAACGGCCGGCCGATCACAGGATGGCATCCGCGCAGAGGGTGCTTTACATATACTTATGAGTTAAATCAGATTTGAAGAAAGATAAGCTGATCACAAATTCAGAAAAAATTATTGAATATTACACAATACGATCTGCCATTTGCATTGCCTAAAGAGAAACATAAGTGCTTCATGACCGCTAAACTCTGTATAGATGGCTCAACAAAATTTGGAATGGATCGGGAGAACTCTGTACGGCAACACTAAGTCGATTCTTCTCAATATACACTTTGAATCACAAATAGCAGGCATGGTAGCACAGTGAGAAAAAAGGCGGCTTCTAACTCCGTTGGTCTCGGGTTCGAACGTAGAGAAGAAACTATCTTTGTCTTAACCATGAATTCCGTTTAACAAAGAATTCGCCCAGCGTTGCTTCGATGAAACCAACCTAGAAACGACAGTAAGTCCCATTACATATGAATAATAGGAACAGCTTAATATTTTGGTGTGATCATGCCAGAACAGACGAGGTGTACCGCCATGCTGCCCAGTACGAATGTCCTTTTTGGCTGTCCTTCGCCTTGACCGATTTGACAGTTGATTAGCCAGTGTAATAATCAGAACAAAGTGTAACCCTGAAAAAAAAATTCTCAAGGGCAGAAAGAGGGATAGTCCGTTTAAGCAGGAACTTCATCACGGTAATACTGGTAGCATCTTTTGCTTCACAACAAACGAAAACAGTAATGAATGCTGGGAGTTGTACATGATTTTCGTATTCCCTGGTTGGTGACAAAGTATAACAGGAGAATTCTTGATTAATTCCTTTTCCTTTGATGGCTTTGAGCAATTTAGTCGGAGGGTAATCTAAGGTTCCTGATTTTATACTGACATTCAGGACTTTCTTCATCAGACTGTTGTACCCAATTCGTGAGAGCTATTTCAACATTTCATGTCTCGTCTGTAGCTGATCTATCACTTTAATATAGCCATTTCCATGCTGACTGCTCACTTCCGTTTTCGTTACAAAATTAAACCATCCTATCAAACCCCCAAGATTTGTCGAAATATCGACATTTTGGTTGCTTGGAGCTTTTTGCTGTGAGCTTCAATAAGCACTTCAATAAGCAGGGCATTCAAGATGGCAGAGTGCATTTGTAATGCGAATCACATCCTGAACTTTTCACAGTCACAACTTTCTTGAGGCAGTTATAATCTTCACGCGCATCGTTGGCAAATTTCCAGCGAGATATTGTTTCTCAAGGAGAAGGCGCATCCTGTCGTTTCCCATTATATCCACGTGAAACAAGTTTATCTACCTTCCCAGACCGTGTGACCATCTAATTTGCCTAAAGTCAGTCCATACACGAAGATCTGAGCACCTTACACATATTACTGCGAAGCTGACGAGAACATGCAACGCCAACATAGGTAACTAGTTGGATCCTTGCATAATCAAGTCCAAATCAAAACAGCAGTACAGTAAACTTATTTGCTAGTCATTTTCATATTAATGTTCCTAAGTTATTGCGCGTCTAAGGATGCTTCCGACATTTTTCGTAGCGCAAAGCGTCAGGTTCAACAAACCACCTCACCTATAATACAGCTGTCGTAAACAATGAGAAGCCATTCCATTATTCAATAAACACCGGATCGTGAGATGGCGCATGAGAAGCTATGCATGACGAATTTTACAAACACTGTGTCACAAAACGTCGAAGAGCATAAACTGCACTAAGGATTACGGCTTTCGCAGATGAGGTAGTCATGTGCGTCGGAAAATCAGAAAGAAAAGACTATTATCAAAGTTGTGAAATAGCGGAAACAATGATTCTCTGGTCGCCTAAGGTTCGTCTGCAAATGAGACAAAAGAAGCACTACCGCTGCATGCACCAAAGGTATTCAATTCACCACCAAACGCGCAGTCAAAGCGCTCTGAAAACGAAACGATCGTTAACAAGCTGAGTACACACAGCCAAGGTAGTGGGAAGTAAAAGGCACACCAAGTGATGGTTGCAGAATTTCCTTAACACCAATCGATACAGTTCCGGGCAACACTGGAGGCCCTTAGTTCCCACCGTGTTTGTCTGACACATTTTAAAATTACTGCGACGGATTTCGAGAGGATCCCGCAGAAATGATGGATGAAACGATTACGAGCTATCGTCTACGTTAATCCCCAAGGAAAGAGAGGAAAAGTACTTTTGTCGCATTTTATTGCTATTATCGACAGATCAAGATTGCCGATTCACTCATTTTTATATGTGACAGCAAAAAGTTTCCTTTCAGAAGGATAAGACATTGCACTTAAATTAAAATTCATAAACATTATATGAAACAGATGTGCATTTTCCAGTTATAATTAAAAGTACGGAATGGCGTAAATTTTCAATTAACTACTGTAAATGGAAAAGATATCATTAAGCTGGAAGGGGACAAAATCAATAATGTTGCTCAGGAAGGGCAAGAAAGATGATCAGAATAACTATCGCCCAATTTGCCCTCTTTCACAAGTCTAAAAAGTTTCTCAAAGATCATCACTAAGAGACTGTCAACAAGTCTGGACGACCAGTAACCACGAGAACATGCAGTATTCGGAAGGGGATACAGAATTACGGATAGCATCTTTACCTTAAGTCAACTCCTAGAGCGCGAGAGGAAATCCCAGCTCCCTCGGTGAATAGTCTTTGTCGATACCGAGAATGCGTTCCACACTCTCGAGCGTAATACAGCGTGGACTGACCGACAGAACAAAATATCGATGCCCGT